TGGAGTACGAGGTACAGAGCAGCAGTCTGTGGGAGGAGAACTGGGACTGCATGGCTTGATCTCAGGGTGGAATAATTTAAAGATCCTAGGGCCACATGTCTTAAAGAGCTTGGGTCAGAAAGAAGTATTTTGTCCTTTGCCAGAAGCTTGTGTAGGCAGAGAGAAGTCACAGCCGCGCTCTATGCCTTGGTCATGCTGTAGAGCTCCAGCTTTATCTACTGCCCCCTGCCCTGCACTTGGGGCAGGAAGACAAGATAGAAGGCTGTTGCAACAGCTGAGCAGAGATGATGAACCAAGGCAGTAGGGGCAGAAGCGAGAGGACAAATTCAAGAGTCATTTCTGAGTACCAGTGACTTCCTGGAAGTAGAGGGAGGAGTAGAGAGGACTCAGTCATCTCCAGGGTTTTTAGCTTGGGAGACAGGGTGATCATGATATGTTTACTAAAATTTCAAAATCCAAGTAGCGCAGCAGGCTTGGGGTTTAGATGCAATTCAACTTGAGGATTCTGGAGGACATTCTGATGGATACGTGAGGGAGGCAAGCGGACATTCATTCATTGAACAAACATTTGTTATCTACTCCGTGCTAGTCACTGTTCAGGGCACTCAGGATATGGCAGAAATGCAGCTTTGAAGAAAGGTTTAGGAGAGTTAAAGATGCATTTGTCTTCGATTGCTTTAGCCTTTCCTAACTGCGTAATTTTACTCATATTATTGTCTATCCTTCTAAAGTATGCCCTCCCCTTCCCGCTCTTAAAATTCCAATATTAGCTACCATATACTGAATGCTTACTATTTGCCAGGCACTGTACTAAATTTAATACTCCAATAAGAGAATATTATTCTCATTTTACAGATGAGAAGCCTGAGGCAGGTGGTGACAGAGCTGGAAACTGAACTCGACAGCTTGTTCTGTTCCCATTCCTCCATTTTGCCTTCCAGTAGCCTCACTATCCCTAAAAATCAGCTCACATGTCACTCCTTCATGCAGTCTTCTCTGATGTCCCCCGATCGGATGTGAGCTTTCCGGCTTGTAAGTCACAGGGTGCTTAGTTTCAACTTCTCATGGCAGATACTGCCTTGAACAACAGTAATCACAGTATTACCCTCTTCCAGTGCACCAGGCGTGGCAGTGTTACGTATGGTTTCATTTAACCCTCCCAACATTCCTAGTTTTTTATGTTCCTGTCATACTGCATCCTCTCCTCCGTGAACACTAAGCTCCAAGGAGGACAGGGAGAGATACGTGTCTTTGCACCCTCCCCTGCTCCTAGAACAAGACTTTGCACAGGCCACACATTTCCTAGCTGAGGGTTGTGCTGATAATTTCTAAGCGTAGTCCCCTCGGGGAGAGTACAAGCATGAGATACCGAATTCCATTCCAGTAGGAGGTGAGCAGAATGAAGGGAGGCTTGGTGCCAGTTTCTGTTTTCACCCTTTTCTGTTTCTGAAGGACATTCTGACCAGTCTTTCTAAAGCCAGGAGGGCAGGGCCCCAGACTGGAGAAAAGGAGAGAAGGTGTAATTCTGGTTCTTGTCCTTGTCTAACCTCTGGCTCCTCGTGCTACTCTGTTTGTTTGGAAATAAACGGTAATGTCTAATAGATTTTCCATGGAAATGTGGAATTAATAGTGGATAGTCCATTCTTTTGGCTGCCTTAGTGAGGCAGAGGTTGGTGCTAGGAAAGTTTCACTCACCTATTGTGCCTGTCTTAGAGACCTTCAGAGAACTGGAGGGCAAAGTTTGTTTAATCATTTGCTCTCTCAGGAAGCCACTGAGTCTTGAAGAACACCTCCAGGTCATACTTCTGTTTCTCTCCCTCCCCTTTTCCTTGCTTCTCTCTAAAGTGCTATCCTCTACCATATTTTGGTGTGTAGTACCAATCTGAACCTGTTTCAAAACATTTTCCTTCAGGATTGTAATAAATTGGTTCCAGAACAATTGCAGTTTTAATGCAAAATCAGCCTAATTCATCCCAGACAAGAGATTTAGGGCCCAGATTGCAGGGAAACCCACTTAGAGACCAAGGCAAAATGGACTCCTGGCCATTTTCTCAGGACTACAGTCCTCAAGATGGTGGCAGACTAGAAGTGTGTATGTATGTGGGAGACTACTGGTCCACTGCTAAGAGGCTGCCCCAAGACACATTTGGCAGCAAATGGATGAGGAAGCTGGTTCATACAAGGTAGTTGGAAAGAAAACACCCTCACAGTTGCTTTAAAAAATTAATGCTCCCATTAATTTGGGTGCATACCATGTTCCTCATTCCCATCTGAAACATTCTCCTCAAGAAAAGCTATTTTTTGGTTGGTGGCAAAAGAACGTTTCGTTTGGAACTTGCCCTCCAGTACAAAAATCAAAGTGGAAAGTTCTGACTCTCAGGTCAAAGAGAAAATAATATGAGGGATCAATACAGTGGGGAAAAAAAACGTCACATGTAACATCTTTAGGTATACCAAAACATCTCTGAAAAGGAGATAAAACATAACTCTGTTTAAAAAAAACCAAACCAAAAAAAGAAAACTCCCGAAGATGTAAGTTACTATGGCAGTTAGGGAGGCAGCTTGAACGAACCCATCCAATCTGCAAGTATGTTCTAGAAGCACCCATGAGAGGAGCTGATGTGTAGATAACTGGCAAGAAATGGTATCCTCCAAATACACTGGACTAGCAGTACTTCTAGAAATAAATCCTGACTGTACAGTAACTTAGCCTTTCATCTGCATTAATCATCATAATAGTTTAGAAAAGTAATGTCGATCATTTCTATTTTCAGTTGCTTTACATGTTTATCATTCTGCAGTGGCAAGAACAATCTCTCATTTAAGACCAACTCTCCTCTGTGGGAGGTCTGGTCTTTGGCTCACTGCTTTGACTACAGATGGGAGGCCTTTCTCATCAGACAAATTACATATCGTTTTGATGTACTGGCTGCTTGTTTCTCAGTATTTCATAATCTCCATGTTGCAGTAAACAATGTGCTTGAAGCCGATAAATCTAAGTTCGACTCCAGCTCTGAAACTACTTACTAGCTTACTAGTATGATTTTGGTGAGTTATTAATCTGAGTCTCATTTTATTTCTATAGTGGGGATACCTATCCTACCAGAGATACGAGAATTAAAACTCACCAGACGGGCTTGGCAGTCAATGCCCCCAATGATGTTTGTTCTCTTCTTGCTCCCTTACCTGCTGCAGCACCTTAAACTGGCCTTTGCTGTACATCTTTATTGATTGTGACTTGGGCAGGCAGTTTTTCCATAAAGCCCAGGGAAGCTGATGTTTTTAGAAAGTCCTGTTTTTTTTTTAATTATTTTTAATTTTATTGTTTTAGGTGAAAGTTTACAGCACGAATTACTTTCTCATTCAAAAATTTCTACACAGATTGTCTTATGACGTTGGTTGCAATCCCTGCAATGTGTCAGCACTCTCCCTTTCCATTCCAGATTCCCCGTGTCCATTCATCCAGTTTTCCTGTCCCTTCCTGCCTTCTCGTCTTTGCTTTTGGGCAAGTATTGCCCATTTGGTCTCGTATACTTGATTGAACCAAGAAGCACATTCTTCACGTGTTGTTTTATAAAACTCATTGCTGTCGAGTCAATTCCAACTCACAGCAACCCTACAGAATGGAGTAAAACCGCCCCATAGGGTTTTCAAGGAGCAGCTGATGGTTCTAACTGCTGACCTTTTGGTTAGCAGCTGAGCACTTAACCATTGTGCCACCAGGGATGTTTGTATTATAGGCCTGTCTAATTTTCAGCTGAAAGGTGGACTTTGGGAGTGACTTCAGTCCTGAATTAGGAGAGTGCCTGGGGGAGTGGGCCTGTTTTAAAGGGCTGAATACAAGTTTTCACACAGATTTCTAACTCAGGGAGAAGTACTGGCACTACTGTGTAAACTTTCAACTTGGATATAGTTTTCATTTTGTCCATTTGGCTAGGTGGCAACTGGTTTATAATTATTTGCTCGGGGGAGAGAGAGTTTGGAGGCAAAGCCCTTATCTGGTTGGGAGGACTATGAGAGACTTTACTGAGTCACACAGTATAGGGAACATTTCAGTAGGGAAAGGGAAAAAGGACATTTCTCGAAGAGGTAATTGCAGAAAAGCCAAGGTGTGTTCAGGCAACAGTGAGAAGCTGGGGTATAGGACTTATGTTTAAAGTTTCTCTCAAGATTGACTTTTTACCCTGGTATTTTACAGCCACCCCCAAAGTTTCAGGACACCCCCATTCTTTTCTTCAATCAGGTCTACAATGACCATCATACTCCCTAGGGGGCTATTTCCTGGCAATTTAGCTTGGTACCGCCAATGCAGACTGTTTGCCCAGCTTCACAGGTGTAGCTCACTAGAAAACCCTTATGTTAATGTTATTTACTGAGTCAGTTCATTATTTCTTACATACATATCTTAAGACCATCTACCTATATTTACTAACTCCTGAAAAAACAAACCCATTGCCGTCAAGTAGATTCTGACTCAAAAAGACCCTACAGGACAGAGTAAAACTGCCCCGTAGGATTTCTAAGGAGCAGCTGGTGGATTCGAACTGCTGACCTTTTGGTTAGCAGCCATAGCTCTAAACTACTGCGCCACCAGGGCTCCACTTGTTTTTTTTGTGTGTTTGTTTTTGAATAAACTTCAGACTTTTGATTATGTTAACAGCCTATAATTAAATTTTATGGAGGACCATAGGTATTGGGCCCCTATTGGATCTAAAGCTTGGATGCAGTAAGATTAAAACAACACATGCTATTGAATGTTACTTCCATGAAATATAGTGTAACAACTTAGAAAAAATGACTGGACTAGTACTTTGAGCAATTCCAGGCCTTGGTGAATTTCTCAGCAGCTCAACTAACATGGAGAAAAACCAATACCTGGGTGCCCCCTGGTGGTAGACTGGTTATTACAGTCGGACATGCTTCTCAACTAGGGATAGGCAGGCGTGTGTGTGCGCGCATGTGTGCATGTGCGTGTGTGTACAGAAGCCACAGCATAAACATGGCACATTTTCCTAGATCATCTTTACTTGAAGATTTTTTTGGGAAAAAAAGTTGGTAATGCAAAACATTTTTATATTAAAACAAATGCAGATAATATTGAATAGTATATAAAATTTACTTTGTGAGACAAAGTAAGAGACATCAAAGACATTTCAAGCTGAGCTACTGGAGCTTCAGGCTGCATTCCTGAACCCAGGGGGAGGGAAGAGACCCCTGCATGCTCACTCCCCCAATATTATGGGTGCTGCTGCTCTGAGAAGTCTGACAAGCAGCAAATTAAGCACTTACTCATTTGTCAATGTCCCAGGGGATTATTTAAATAAGTAAAACCACCTTTTCTCATTTTACAGGATTTGAACCTCCTTTTAAAAAGGCCTGAGTAAATAACAGCTTTATGCATGAGGTGAATTTTATTTCCTCCTACAGTGATTTCTTCCTCCCGTAAAGGCCTGCTAACATGTTCAGGGTATGACATGCGAGGTGGTCCATAGCCTAATGACCCTGTGGACGTCAGTCTGCATTACCAGATAGGAGCTTAACAAAAACTTTCCAAGGGTGTCATTAGGATGAAAAACAAACTACTCGCCTTCTGCAACAACAACAAAAAGAAAACAAAAATAAAAAGCTAAAGAAAAAAATTATACACAATTAGAACTGTGTAATGGTGTTAATTCAGGGACTGGCAAAGACACAGCTCTTAAGAGAAGAGGGGTAGTACTGCAGCACTTGCTTTTCTTATTTTACGTGAAAACAAGAATTTCTTTTGAAAAAAAAATCATTACACTTTTCTTTCTAAATCTTGCACATTCTCTGTCATTGTCCTTTCTTAAAGTATGAGAGACAGGTAATCAAACGGGAACATCTAATGGGACGCAGACTCTGTGGAAGCTGTCGACTCTTTCTAGGGTCTGCCCACGAGAAGGTAATTCATAACCTCTTATGTCGCTGGCCTTACTGATTTTCTTAGGTTTTACAGAATTATTTCTATTTCTTCTTGGGATTCTACTCTTCATTTTACAAAATCTTAAATCGAGACTAAAATCACATGCCAGCCTGGCCTGTACTGCTTAGAGAAATGAAACTTTTTTTTTCTGTTCAAGTGAAATAAGAGTCTGAAGCAAAAAGGTCACACTTCAGAATAACTACAGGGGGGAATCTCAGTGGCAAATTCTGTGCGTGGGAAAAAGAACAAAAAAGGCAGACACCAAACACCTCCATTTTCCCAAGATTAAATGATTATTAAAAAAAGCACGCCACACTGTATAGAAATCAACATTCTCTCCCATAATTCTGTGCATCTGGGACTATAGAAATGTCACTGTCCCTGCCCCACATCTTCAAATTAACATTCTCAGGTCACAACAATAAGTCTTCCCAAAGGGGACCTTCCGGAAAAACAAGCTATTTCCTCGGCTCATATTTCCCTGGAAAAAAAATAAACACAAAGTATAGCGTGAAGAAGAGGTCAGCCAATCCAAATTAGCAGAGTGAGATTCAACTGGACATGTTTCTGGGAGACACAACTAAAATGATCAGGACAAAACTGAGGCCAGCATCACAGAGTAGGAATTTGTATTCTCTGACTCAGGCCGAGCTCTTCTGGCACTAACAAACTACAATTCTGCCTCACAGATAAGGCAAGAACTTCTTACTTAAGACAGAATGTTCAGTCTGGACTGTGGCTCTGCCACTTGCTACCTGGGTTACCAAGTGAGTCAATATATGTACAGTGCTCAGGACAGGGCCTAACGCTTGGTAAGGTAAGAGCTAGCTTTTATTTATTTTTTAATGAAATGGCCAGGTCTTGAAGAGGTACTTATAAAAATCTTACAAATAAAATGGTAAGGTGAGCTTAACTGAGTTGACTCTGAAGTCAGACAGCTCTCCCAAATAGACTGTGTGACCTTGGGTTACATACTTGGAATTATTTTAACTGCTCTAAGTTACAGTTTCTGCATATGGGGAATGGGGATGATAAATAATGGTACCTATCCTCATTTGGTTGTTTGAGGATTACATGAGCTGATACATAGACAGCTCTTAGCATGATACCTGACATGTACTAAATGGCCAATCAAGATGTGCTGCTATCTCAAGCACTTATAGGACCAACTGTTCCCTAGGGGTGGTGTACTAATACTCTAATAGAAAGTAGGGAAAGAAAGGCCATTTTTCCCTTTAAATGAGGATCACAACAGGAGCTTATCTAATACAGGGTATGAAACTCAGAATGAAACCCACAGCGCTCATGTCAGGACCGTACTGAAATCATCCAAGTGTTCTAGCTTGGATTCGCAGCAGGCCTGCTGGGCATACACGCTGAGCAGAAGCAGCCGCAGCGGCACTTAGGCCTCTTCATTCACAGTTCAGGCTGGTGAAGCCTGGGCTCTGTGAACAAAGGCCTTTCTCATATGCATTACTAGTGCTGTAAAATAATGTAACAAAGAGCTTTTTCATACTTTCCTCTGCAATCCTTTAGAAAGTGCTTCCCACTCAAAAACAGCTTTAAAACTGATGGCTATTTTAAGTGATGTCATGCTAAATTTAGCTCACAGCCCATCCATTATTCTAGCTCTAATAAAGCTTTACCTAGACTGATCAAGACCTTCTGGTTGCAGATGACATACCCCATAGCAATAACAAATACAACAAAACCTGTGAGAGCCAGAATTCGACAGGACTGCCTTGTTTTTCCGGGTCTCGCAAGTTTTCCACCTTTGGCAGGGTGCAGTCTTACCATTTTTCTATTGCTCTCTATTAGTGGAAAATATTCGCGCTTTCCTTCTTTGACAGGTTTCCACCTTACCCAGGTTCCGGCTTTCGCAGGTTTTACTGCAATAAATTGGAGTCTGGACAAAATCATCCACTAACAATAGCCTACAACTAAGAGACCAGCTCTACCAATACCACTGTGACAAATACTTTGTCATAAACAAACAACTTATTTCTCACTTTCCTCATCTATATTGTATGGAAACACTTGAATACACATAAGGAAATTCTGAGGAGTTAAAAAAAAAAAAAGCAGAGGTTGGAAAAAAAGACAGTCTGAAATCAAGACCATCATTTTAACACCCAGGACAAGTCTGCCTGGACCCTATTTGCAACCTGAATGTGATGGCTCAAACAGCTTCTAGATCACATCTAGGGGTTCTTACTTTATTACCCCTGCTGCTGATTTCTAAACATCACATTGTATTATTATGCCAGAGAGATATATATGAGACACCGTAAAGGGTACAGGTATTGGCAGCTAAAGGCTGAGCCACAAAAATTAACCTAGGATTCCAGTGACAGTATTTAAGAAAACAAAGAAAAACAAACCCAGACAAAACAAGAGAGAAAAATACCTCTTTCTGTAGTACGCACCAACAGTCTACCCAAGAAGTATATACTGGGGAGTAAGGAGGGGATCCACCAGCAAGGCTGAAATAGGAGAAAAGATTAGTGACTCAACACATTCACTCAAGAGTTTGAGAAAAAGTTGTCAAAATATTCTGCTACCTAGAAGGCTCCCTGAGAAGCAATTTTAGCTCTAATGAAACAAATTATACTAGAGCAGAGGAAAGATTGAGCATCACAAAAGGATTCCCCCCCACATAGTCAGGTTTCAAATCAACAAACAGAAACTTCAATCTCTTATGTATTTTCTAAAGTGGACAAATGAAACTCTAGGACAAAGTAATTATAGGATTAAAGAACAGACAAAAGGGTTTAAAAACTAACTCGTATTCACAAAAAACCTAAAGACGACAATGTATCTAAACAGAAGTGACTCTTACTCAGGTACAAGCCATAAATCACTTCCTCTCTAAAAACTGTGAGGAGTAATAATAATCTAACTCATCCTTCAAGTAGGTGCTAGGCTAATACGTGGCAGCTGCTCTATAAATCACAAATAGAATGTAATGTGATAGTGCAACTCTGCTCCCCAGCTATCTATTTGATACCCTGCTTGAAAACGATGACATGTCTAATGGCATACTGTGGCAGCGACCGCACTAGAACAGAGTTTTGAATTGTATCAAGAGGCAAAACTTCTATTCCACTTGGTAGGGTCACTTGGCATCTAGCAGATGGAAATTAGTGAAGCCCACCACCACTCACCCTTCCCAGCGAATACAATGAAAGGCTAACAAACTTCCCATAAACCAAATTTCTTGCTTCTCTTTCTTTAAAACTCCATTTCTCCAGGAAACCCTCTAGGAATAACAGGTATAGGTTGTCACTGAATCCCTAACATAGTTATTGTAGCTTTCATAAAAGAGAGGTAAAGATTTTTTTAAAAAAGGAAAGATGTGAAAGTAGAGTATTTCGCTAATTATTTTGCCTTTTTGAGGATAGGACCTATACTATTGGCAAGTGCATACTATCTATGAGTACTTGAGAAATATTATTTATTTATGCCCTTCTCTAATCCAAGAAAGGATCTGAGGTGGCTGCTTCTAAATATAAACTGACGTGACTGCTGCATGCAGCATACAGAGAAAAAAAACTGGGAAATCTAGTAGTGGCATCTACTGCACTTTTCTCCCCCCAAACTTCTACCAGGACGGCTCTGTCTGTCAGGCATTTAGGCAGCCAACCACCAGGAGAAAAAACACAAGGCACTTACCCACAGTTGTTGACGGCCATAAGATTGGACACAAGCACAAAAGGATAAGTCAACATACTGGCAAAAAACTGTCAAGTGATAAAAAAAAAAAAAAGACAGGTAAGTTATTAGAGAATTCTAGTTTTATTTACTCCATTCTTCCCCCTCTCTTAAAGGCCTAGAGCTGCATGCCACTGTGGTCAGACACTCCAACACTGGTTTGCTCTCTCAGTGTCCCAGGAAAGGCTAAATTACACATTTTTGAGCTTGGAGATGCTTCTTTCTCTTAACATACCAGCACAGTCAACATTCCAGCAAAAGGCCAGAAGACGTCTCTTATCCTATGACTGAGTCTTCATTCAAATAAAACTGAACTATATTATTTTGGAGAAAAAGTAAACACAACTAAATACAATGAAGCATTTCAAAACACCCCTGAAGAAAATAAAAAAATTCGAGCCTCTTTCAAAAGATGATGGAAACTACTTTAAAACTCAACTATTCAAAGACTCCATCTTTATGGTGAAGACTCGTTATTTAGGGTGAAGTTTTCTTGTGTAGGACACAGTACCCCCTTTGAAAGCAAAAAGCACCAAACCACGTGAGCTGTTATTACTGTGACTCAGTAGTGAAATGAGGAACTCGGGGCCATTGCTACCTCTGACAAACATAAACAAATTTTAGGCAGACTTTCCATCAAGACATCTGGTTACTTTAAAGCACTGATGACACAGGCCAAATTAATAATAGCAAAAAAAAAAAAAAACAACAACCCACAACTATTCCTAGAAAGTTAAGAGGATTAAGAAAACTCACTCCTGTGACAGCTTGGGAATAACTCTTCATTTCGCTCATTGTAGAAACCTATAATAGGCAGAAGGCATTTATGAGAATAAGTGAAAACAAACTGATGTTAACAGTTAGTTGTCCCCAACCATATCAATATATTCTATACCTAAAGTATCAGTCTGACAGCTTTAAAATGAATTTTGATGACAAAAACATAAAATATGAATGATAAGCAGAAAAAGGCAGCGGTCAAAATCATCACCTTGATTCAACATTAACAAATTCATATTAGGCTAAGATAGTTTAAGACCAAATGTAGTAATCTCAGGATTTCAAAAACAAAAAAAAGTAAAATTGTAACCTTTTCCCATGTCCTAGAAATACAGTCCCTGGAAAACTATTTACAGTATATTTACAGTATACAGGACAATTCACTACCTATATATCTAGCTTGGATCCAGATACCGTGGAGATCAGTCTCTATACTCAAGAAGCGCACATGGATTTAGACACACTACTTGGTGTGTTCTATTTTCCACCACGCTATGGGGCTGCCTGTGCACAAACAGGCCCTGTAACTGCGGAGGCAGGGGAAACATCACTTTTAGGAAAGGCTGATTCTCAAAACCTCCCAGGCTGAGGTTTCTAGAAAACCCAATACAGGAGTCCCCCATCACACCCCAGGTTAGATGAAAACCCCTAGATACACCATAAAACTGTTTCTCTGCTAGATACTATCCTCCAAAATTAGAAACCAATAAAGAAGTGATCTCCTTGCAGCACGGTGGCAGGGCTAGATCTCTCAGGCTTACCCTGCACACCCCAGGTAGGGACTTTTTAGGTGCGCATCTCTACAGTAAACAATATGGATCATTCCATTAGCCTTTGAAAACTCAACTGATGATTTTTAGCCATATAATGTGCATCTGGAGCGTAGCAGACTGTCATCTTACTTTGAAGCTAACCCAGCTGCCAGCTGAATACAATAAAGTCAGCGCCAGTACAGCTGATCAGGTCACACCTACCCCACTGTCCAGTGCATAGGTATTGACGAGGTAGGCCAGTGAATTACAGAGCCACAAGGAAATGATGTCCCCTAGGAGGCGAGGAATAAGACCCCTACACGAAGAAACAATAAAAATAAGAACCAAGAAATGTGATCAGTAAAAAGATAACTCGCTCAGTATAAACACTTCTCAAAGAATTAGATCATGAAACGTTGTAGAGAACTGAAAAGACACTGGGTGCCAGAACCTGGCCCTCTTATCTAGTTCGTTCTAGTTACGATAGCTGCACCTGAGGCTCATCTCTGACTTTTGTTCCCATTTTTAAAATGCAGGTCAGCTCTCTCCCTCTGAACTATGGCCAATGGTTCACCTTACTATTAGTAACTATAAGTAAGCAGGCCAAAAATTTGCCAGGTACTTTGGAGATGGGACTTAAATATGGTTTTTGCTAAACTACTTGATATTCAAATCTGGCAGGGCAAAAGATGAGAACAATTACAAAATGAGAATAGTCCAAACACAGAAATAGCTGAGAGACATCAAAGGACACTATCCCAGACTGAAGACCAGGGCTCATGTGCCAACACTGTCATTTATCAGCTATGTGACCAGCTGCAAGTGAACTTCGTGAGTGTCAGTATTTTTTTAATTTGTAAGATGAGACTAATAATAGCTGTCCTACCGATCTCACAGACTATCTATGATACTCAAATAAAATCAAGTATGTGGGAACACTCTGAACATTTTGAAGGCCCCATTTAGTTAATAATACAAAGTTTCTGCTGTTAATCGAAGAATAAGGATATTAGTCTAAGTTCTTTCAAAGTAAATTCAAGGGAAGTTTATATAACCGTGCAAGAACTTTTCTCTCAGGATAAAGAAAATACATGTTAAATGATTTTTCCATTTTTTAAAAATTAATTTTCCTCATTTTCTTAACTGTATGTAATTGGGAAGGGAGTGAATTTATTTGCTAAAAAAACACATAAACCACTCATTTCATATGCTTTAAATGTCCAGAAGCAAAGGTTTGGGATCTTTAGAACAAGAGAATTTAAATCAAAATGGTTGTTAATACAACAGTATATTTTCCCCCAAGAACTAAACAAAGATTCACTGCCCTTATTCTTATTAAAATTTTCTACTCACACAAAAATCACATACATACAAGTCAATGTTTACTCACGCAAAAAATCCTAGGATGCCCTCTTCTCGATAGATGGTTACTATGGAATCACAAAGTCCACTAAGTACAGAGGAAGGAAAGGTAAAATTCATGAAAATTATTTTGGAGATATGAAAAAAATAATTTCAATAATCACTTTTGACATCAAATGTATATCCACCGCCCTTACTTTTCTAGCACCCCTTCACTCTGCAAAGAGAGTTGAATCTGAGATAGAAATTAAGTTATTAGGACGTAAGGGTACAGTTGCCTGGAGTCAGGGTGACTCTTGGCTTCAGTGTCTCTGCAGCTTACTTTGAGATGCTGGGTAGGCTCCTAAACCCACCCAAGCCCATTTTCTCCTATTTTACTGTATTTTTTGTAAGGATTCAAATGATTTAGGATATATGAATTTATTCTGTAAACTCTAAGGCATTGTACAAATGCAAAGTAGTATTCTATTAGTTTGGCTTCAACAGATCTTGAATACTTGAAAACAAAAACACTTACCAATATTTGGTTTCTCTGCCAATGAATTGTACCATCGATCTCAAAGCGATCACTGCAAAACACAGAGAAAGATTTTTAAAACTACGCTGACATACATTTTGATAGCTCTGAAAAAAAAGCTGTTTGCACCTAAAGACATTTTGTTATCCGGATAAACTGAATAAAAGCAAAGCCAAGCAAGCAAACAAAAAACACACAGGAAAGGCACTTCAGTGAATTCCCATGCCAACCTAAGAGGTCAAGAGAGATCAAGTCATAAGAGAGAGACAGAAATCAGACTGCAAGCATCAACTGCAGACATACCTTGGAAGGGATGCGTGACGAGGGTGGCAGCAGAACGAGCCATCATCTCTCGTGTTGTCTAGAAACAATCAACACATACTTCTGAAATCTAAAGAACTGACACTGCAATTCCTGTGAGAAGGAATGTGGGTTGGTATTGTAGCATATAATAAGAAAGTGAGTTACAGGGCACTCCTGCCCTGGAGTCAGGAAGAGCAGTTTCAAGGGGATACAATATAATACACAATAATACCTTTCACTGGTGGATTTCACCATTCTGTTATAGTTACTTCTCAAAATATCTCTGCAAGGCAGGTTCTATTATTTTCTCAATTTCACAGATAAGAAAAACAAAAAGCAAAGGAACAGGGAGGGTCACCAGCAAATCATCAGAGAGCTGGAATAGAACCATGAGGCCTGTGTTTAGAGTATTAAGTTGCTAGACAAGTATCAGGCTCTATTTACTCTGTACCAACATCTTAGGGAAAAGAGAGCAACTCTGATTTGTTTGCGACCATAATTCTACAACTGTGCCTTATCTTTGAGCTGCTGTATTTATCCTAGTTTATCTATCTAGTCCAGCACTCTGTAAGGAGATAGTAGAGAAAATTAAATGACAATACTTGGAGCTGGATCCTGGGGTTCTAGGTGTCATTTATTTTTGCATTTAAATATGTTTGTCAGTTAGGAGACTTCCCCCACTAATCAAATGGTAGTTCTGAAAACACCCTGTGGGGCTAACTGAAGTTAAGAAAATGTAAAATGCGTATTACTACATGCATCCCTACTTTTAAACAAACTCACTTCATGAAAATTTCAGAAAACAAAGCTGATTCATCTTATGTATCAGATCTTTGGTAATGTTTGAACTATCTGTTTTTTAAAAGGCAGCAATTGTGACCTCATTAGAGACAAACAGACAACATAAAGACAGAGAAAAAGAGCAGTTCTCAAAGTCAGGCATGAAGAAACTCCAATGGCAGAAGACAGGGTGGGAAATAGGTGAAGAGGAACACTCCAAAGCGAGGTTCATTCATACAGATAAAAACATTTCTGGATACGTAATATCTAACATACAATGGGCCTGGCCAAGCTCTTAACACTTTTGAGCCAGAGGTTTTCAACTCTGTTAGACGACTTCAGTAGAAACCTTTTCAATTTTAAAGAAAAAATGACTAGGCAAAATGAGTTTCCTTTTCGGTTACCCTTTCTGAAAGGCATCTCTCTCAAAGAGCGAGCATGGCTTCTCCCTCTTTTCATGTCACATGTGCAGTAAAGCCCACACTAAGGTCAAAGTTTAATTTCATTTGGGAACCGACACTGAGCACACAGGTCTGATACTCCTGATTCCACAACCGCCACACTGCATACTATCTGACTTAGGGGAAAAAGTGTTGGATGGAATCCATCTCTTACCTCCTTGATAACTCGGTCAAAGGAAGATGAGACATCTTTCTGTACATTTCCAGGTCCTAACTCCTGGAAATCCAAATCAAAGAAAACAGAGATCCTGATGGTTTTAATGAGAACTATTAAAGTGGTGGCCACCCCATGTGCCAGTATTCACTGAGATTAAATGGAAACTGACTGCATGGCCCCACTCCTAAAGAGGACCAAATAGCAGTAACTTGCAAGTGGAAAGGGGCCCACACATAGAATCAGCTCCAACATACCTCAGGCTTCTCAGAGTCCTGGTAATGCTACAATAAAAGGGGAAAGAGAAGAAAGGATGATTAGGGTTATTACAGTGCCATGTGAAAGAGGACATAAAATGAAAACTCTATCGGTGGGAAATAAAATAGCTGGAAAAAAAAATTTTTTTTTTTTTTTTGCCATAAATCTCCAATTAACTTCTACTTCTCATTAATCAACTCTAAAGATGGCCTTGTTGCTAAGTTTAAAATATTGGTCAGCTAGAGGAATAATCAAACACACATGAAACCTCTTACTTAAAAACAGAAAAAGGAAAACAAAACAACAGCAAAAAAAAACACCATGTGTTTCTTAGTTCCAGTAGATACACGAGACTAAATGGGCAGCTCCTGTCCAGAGGTGAGACGAGAAGGCAGAAAGGGATAGGAGCTAGTGGAATGGACACAGGAAATCCGGGGTAGAAAGGAGGAATGTGTGGTCACATTGTAGGGATAGCAACTAGGGTCACATAACAATGCATGTATAAATGTTTGTATTAGAAACTAACTTGAGCTGTAAACTTTCACCTAAAGCACAAAGAAAAATCACAGTATTATTTACTAAACATACGGGTTTAACAGAAAATGAGCTGGCAAAAACACAGCCCAGGTTCCTACTCTTCTCATTGAAAACATCAGACCAATACCAAATTAGGGCAAGATTCTTGTCTTCATTGTACAGAAGAGCAGAGAACTGGTGCTAAGTCTGAATAGCTGAAATTGCCTCACTTTTCTTTTCGTATTATTTGACTGTTTCTAAAACAAGCAAGGGGCAGGGGGGAACTTTTAGAGAACATGAACACAGCCAGAGCCCAGACCATACTGGAAGAGGAAATATTTGTGGAATATTTTAGAATTAGTGGGCTAGGTGAAATGAAAAGAAATCAGACAATCAAGTTCCTTATAACAATCGGTTTTATTACCTTCTAGTCATTCCACATTAAAAAATCAGACAACACTTTTGTAAAAAGAATTATGTTTTTAAAAAAAAATCACAGCCAAGCGAACAAATGTAAAGATTAAGCAAAGTGATGTCTTTTGGCCAAACTCCAGGTCCTTTGCTAGAATTAATTTTATAGTTTCCAGATCTCTTTAAAAATTGTTGGTCATTTTCAGTCTGTGCTTTTTACCCCATCAACAGAAATTATCTACCTCTCTCTTCTATGTTATTCCGAACAGATTTAATTGAACTCGTGTTCAGATATACAGAACTCTTGTAAAGATTAACAGTTTCCTCAAGCCTGAATAGGTCTTTCTTCTTGGTTGTAGAAGCGGCTGCTGATACTAACTGTAGTACCAACCCTCTGTTATATTTCATTTGGCTACATCTGAAACACAAATTCAGAGCGCCTGTTTACCTCAAGTTTGCCTTATTTTTCCTTTACATAAGGGAACTTGGTCTCAAGCAGTAATTTCATTTGTCCTCTAAATCTATACACAAAGCTCTCTGAGTAGATGACAACTGCCTTTCCACGTGTAAACCTCACTTAGGTAATGGTAATGTACTTTCATTGAGCCCAGAGAAGGGTGGGGCTGAAAAAGAAAAAGCAGTTATCAACCCACCAAAAACAATGGCCCATTAAGAAGCCATCACTCTGACTCACGGCCACCTGGAAGGGTGCATCTAGATTCAGTCCACAGGCATGATAAAAAGAATAAAAACTCAAACCCATTGCCGTCGAGTCGATTCCAACTCACAGCAACCCTACAGGACAGAGCAGAACTGCCCAACAGGGTTTCCAAAGAGTGGCTGGTGGATTCGAAGTGCTGACCTTTCAGTTAGCAGCTGAACTGTTAACCACTGGGCCACCAGGGAATAGGTATAAAGAATAACACAAGGACTGAAGGATGAAACAGGCTCCATGTGAGGAACTGACTAAAACTAACCTACACAAATCAATGAAAGCTGAAGAGCATTTAAAAGAAATCAAACAATGTGCTGTATTGGGCAAATCTGCTACAAAAGACCTCTTTAAAGTGTTAAAAAGCAAAGATGTCATCTTGAAGACTAAGGTGCGCCTGACCCAAGCCATAATGTTTTCAATCGCCTCATATGCATGGGAAAGCTGGACAATGAATAAGGAAGACAGAAGAAGCATTGATGCCTTTTAAGTATGGTGTTGGTGAAAAATATTGAATATACTACAGACTGCCAAAAGAATGAACAAATCTGTCTTGAAAGAAGTACAGTCAGAATGCTCCTTAGAAGCAAGGATGGTGTCCATATTTTGGACATGTTATCAGTAGGGATCAGTCCCTGGAGGACATCATGCTTGGTAAAGTAGAGGGTCAGCGAAAAAGAGGAAGACCTTCGATGAGATGGATTGACACAGTGGCTCCAACAATGGGCTCAAGCATAACAATGATTGCGGATGGCACAGGACTGGGCAGCGTTTAGTTCTATTGTACATAGGGTCGCTACGAGTCAGAACCTACTTGACAGCACCTAACAACAAGCCAATTAGATGATGAAACTGTTTAACAAAATCGTGATTTCCTCATTAGATGATAAAATATTATTACTGAGGAAAATATTAAAGCCTAAAAAAGTACAATGAAGATTGTACAGAGTACTATTTAAATGAGCAGTTTGTATTTTTCACATCTGATATATGGTAAATGTTAAAAGTATAATTTGTTAGCATACACTGCTACATTTTTTGAGTTATAACACAGAGGATAACAGCCTTTGGTGCCACTAGGGGACAGAATAATGAACTAGAAAACCCATTAGTCATATTCTCAACCACACTCATGCTAAACAACCTTCCCTGGACTGTTCTAAATGGTACAGAATTCTTATCCGTAACACCTTTCTAATATAGCAAAGGGCAATTCTGTGTGCAGAACCACTTCCCAAATACTAAGACTGCCTTAAGGGTTAATTCAATAGACCTACACTGTAACAGGTGCAACTGAGAAACCAGTACAATCAAAATTATAATTCAAGCTTTAGCATATGAAGTAAAAAGAAGCCAGAGAAACAAAAGGATCACTAAGAAAGAAACAAATGTAACTAAAACATTCTATGAAACATCTCAAACATACAGAAAAATTCAGAAAATAATTTACCTATGTATCCACCAACACTAAACAGATGTTAATATTTTGCCCTTTTTGCTTAAGATCTCTTGCCTTCTTAAAATAAAACACACAGATATAGCTGAATAGCTGAAGTCTCACCTCAGGCCTTTCCCTTCCCTAAAAGTCACCCCTATCCTGCAGTTGATACATACTTTGGTAATGGTTTTTTTTTAACTTTAAAATTTACAGAATGTAACACACATACAGAATAGTGTACAAAATACAAATGCACAGTATAATAAATAATTAAAAGACAAATATTCATAACAGCCTTGTCCTAGGTTAAGAAAATTCACTGATATTACCCCAGTCCCCCATCCAGGGTCCCTCTCTCTCCCTTGTAAATAACCACTATCCTGACTTTTATGTTTACTTTGCTAAGTTTTTAACAGAAAACATTTCACTAGGGTAACACTTCAAATAACAAGAAAATAACTGCAGGGGAAAAAAAGTACATTTTAGTGCGCTTCCTTCCTCCTTCAAAGAAATAAACTGAGCATACAGGAGACCAAATAAGCCAATGTATTTAATTTCTGCTCAGAATACCTGGTTCAAAGGAAGGTTAAACAGTTCAAAATCAACTACTTCAATCTGCAAGAATGCTCCTGCTTCCAGGAAAGAACTAAGAACAGGCATTTCAAGAGAAAGTTTTTCAAGGGGAAGAATGGCCAAAGTTATAAATATATCATCGAATTGCTTGATTAGTTGAACAAACTGTACATAAAAGGTCATTCAAATCTCTAGGAAGACTGATTTTCCACTCACCTGCAAAACTTTACCATGGACCACAGTTCCAAGGATTCCTGAACACAGTCGTGGAGTTAAGCCTGTGAACAACCCTCGCTTCCCATCGATGCTCGCAATGTGTTGCGCTAAGAACACAAGTCAGAGATTTAAATTCTAGTTGGAAGAAATGATTCCACAGACATTTCAAGGAAACATGCTTTCTTTGCCATCTTAAGAATTCTAGTTTTTTTTTTTTTTTTTGCAGGGGGGGTATCTTGTCTATCTTGGAGCCCTGGTTGTGCAGTGCTTAAGAGCTCAGCTGCTAACAGCTGCTAACCAAAGGGTAGGCAGTTGGAATCCACGAACTGCTCCTTGTAAACCCTATGCGGCAGTTCTACTCTATCCTATGGGGTCGCTATGAGTCCGAATCGACTCGATGGCATCAAGTATTTTTTTTGTCTGTCACAGTCCTCAATGTCATCAAATTCCAAATAAATCAAAGACACTTACCATAACAAAAGAGACCAGGAAGCTGACATACTTGCCGCCCAAAAATATTTCGTCCTATTGTTGGAGGAAGAGGCTCATATCCCACCTTTAAAAACAAGGAAATATATCAATAGTAAGCAGTACTCCCAGAGCCCTGGTGGTGCAGTGGTTAAGAGCTTGGCTGCTAACTAAAAGGTTGGCAGTTTGAATCCACCAGGTGCTCCTTGGAAACCCTATGGGGCAGTTCTACTCTGTCCTATAGGGTTGCTCTGAGTTGGAATTGACTCAACGGCTAAGGGCTTTTAAGCAATACTCTCAGGAATGCGTTGGTTGCAAGGGCTTGAATAAAGAACAAAATCAGGGTTATCATTTTAACACAAGTAAAAACGCAGTGGATGTTTTCCAAGGCGATGATGAGAGTCATCCTTGTCAGTTTTTTATTTTATCAAATGATAAGACTGGATTCAATAAACTCCAATCTTCCTTTCGGTTCAAATTCGATGAAGTGAAACATGCAGCTGAAATAGACTAATATCAAACTGTGAACAGAATAAAGGAACTTTTGTGTTAGGAAAGCTACAGTTTACTGAGGAGGCTCAAAAATATTTTTTAAAGAAAATCTAGGGCATTTTAAAATTTTAGACAAAATGAGAAGACATCCTCTAAGCTATCCTCAAATATCAACTGCATATTTGGCTAGCAAGACA